TTTATAAATATATAAAGCAAGGATGGGTTGTTGTTATTTTTTTTACTTCATTAAATAGAGCATGGATGGAGTTTTCTAGGTTCAGCAAGTGATACCAAAGCAGGATTGGAAGAAAAGTATATAAAGTGGTGCAGAGTGGTATGAGGAGGTGATGAAGAGTGGTATTTCACTCTATTTAATACACACAAAAGATGAAAAGACAGACCTAGACATATGAATATATGTTCATGCAATTCCTTCACTTCCAGTTCCAGATGTTTCTGCATATACATGTATAATGTCTTGTTACAGAACAAAAGGACAGGAACATCTGTGTTGGAGTAGAAGTTTTTTTTTTTTAATTATTTCTAATACATTTCAAAATATACTGTCCTACAAATTATTAACAAAGGAAATGAAAATATAAATAATACAGACATTCTTCAGTATCAAGTGTACACGGGCACATGTGTAACTGCATACCAATCTAAAGCAATTTAAAATATTTGAATAATCCAAAGAGCCCCACATTGCTGATATTTAAGGCTTTATGGAACTCGAACCTTTTCATGTTTTCTTCAAACCAGACCTATCAAAACTTTAGAGATGGTTCTTCCAACATTTAGTTCTCTTTTGCCAAAACAAATTTACAAAAGAAGGCTTCATATTGAAGTCTGCAGATTTTCATTACTCAGTTTACCTTTTGATGGACAGGGAAAAATCCAACATGTTAAAAGAAAACAGTATTGTTTCAGTGTATTAAAGCAGGAGCTGCTTTAATTTGATGAGATTGGTAAGTAGACTTTCAATTTCCAAATCTTGATTCACACTTTCTTAGAAATATTAATCCCCATGGTACCATTGGTACTTCTGTACTTATAGCCAAAATTTACATATTCAACAGATACTTATTTTGATTCCTAAAGAGCACTCCTAAAGTGAAAAGCTGTTCTTCCAAAGAACATTGACTACAAATTTATTGAGACTCAGAATCAGAGACTGGTTTCATATTATTTAACGTGTTGAATTTCAACTGCTTCTCTTTCATATCTTTATTGAATAAAATGTGGTTCGGCTTTAAATAACTATGCTACTAGTTTTGGAAAACCTTTTTTTGCAATCTGCACTTATCGTCTTCTTTTTTGTGTGTGTGCTCAGTGTAACATAGGGTCCATAACAAAGTAGGATTCTATTTTATAATATTCTAGGCTATATGGAGTTCCCTCCCAGAGTTGCTGGAGCTAAAATTGTTAGATACATTTTGAGGGAATTGTGAATATAACAGGCAGAAAGGGTGCCTTAAGCTTTGCAGATACCTGATGTCAGACTGTATTGAGCTATAAGTGCACTCAACAATGAACTAAAGGGCCACCATCAGTGAGCTGTTGGACAGCACTCCTTGGTCTGCTGTATGGATGCTTGGGTGGTTTAGGGGCGGGGGATTTTTTGGGTGGGCGGGGGTGTGTTTGGGGATTGTTATGTGTGTTGGGCCTGGTCTCTGGGTGTTATGTGAATTTCGTTGTGTGTGTAAACCAGGGGTAGTCAACCTTTTTATACCTACTGCCCACTTTTGTATCTCTGTTAGTAGTAAATTTTTCTAACCTCTCCCCGGTTCCTCAATAATGTT